TCAAGACTACCTCTCAGTGAGAAAAAACTGGGAGCAGAGGTATGTGCCTGTCTTCCCAGCTATGACAGAAAGTGTAAAATAGGAAGATCACAGTCCAAGCTGCCCAGGCAAAAAGGAAGACTCTATTTCCAAAATAACCAGAACAAAAAAGACTAGAGACATGGTTCAAGTGGTAGAGTTCTTGCCTAGCAAGCACAAAGCCTTGAGTTCAAACCCCAGTACCACCAAAATACTAAGACTACAACAACTACTACGACTGCTAATAATAGTACCTGTATTCCCAAGAATCAATTAAAAGTTAATATCCTACATGATTTATAAAATAAACAAGAATAAATTCATTTTTTCTGTGTGACTCAAACTCCTTTCATGTTGGAAGGCAATTTAGAGCCTTTTGAGTCTCCATCTTTGAGCATACAGTGGCCTTGAGCATAACAGAGAATAGCTTAACAGAATCCAAGTATGAGGTTTCATGTCTTTTATCCGGGGGATATGTGTTTGCTCACTTTTTACAAGAAATGAAAACACATAACTGTATATCTCTCAAACTGGTTCCTTAGTATGTGGATTAATTCTTCTACTTCTTTCTTTAAAGGTTTTGTTTTGTGAGAAAGGGTCTTTCTTGCTATGCAGTCCAGAGTGTCCTGGAACTCATCACGTCACCCAGGCTGGTCTCAAACTCTGCCTCCTGAGTGACTAGACATGAGTGCCACTACCCTCAGCTTCCTCTAACTCTTGAACTTCAGTAACCGCTGTGGAATAGGATAGGTTGCGATCATTGGTGAAGAATGTTTATTAACAACTGCAAACCTGTGAGGAGAACCACAATATCTACTAGTCTAATTTCTAACATACCCTACAGGTCAGCAAACTATTGCTCAAGGGCCAAATCTGCTCTACCAAGTATTTTTGTTAGTAAGGCTTTGTTGGAACACAGCCAAGCCCATTTGTATTTTCTATGGCTGCTCTTTACAAAAGCAGAGTCTGATAGCTGCAACAGAGACCATATGGCTTGCAAAGTCAGAAATATTTAGCCCAAACTATAAAGCCTTCTAAAATTATGAAATCACTGTGTAATGGCTGTTGGGTTACTTTCAGAGCTCTGTTAACTCTTATTGAACAACAAAGAGGTTAAAAGACCTTGCTAAACAAATTTACTGGGACAGGGAAATGTGGTGAGGAAGACATTTTGACGTTTGTAACACAGCAATGAAAGTCATGGCTGACATCTTCACTGGGTGACTTAGAGAAAGGACAGATCTTGCAAGTCGAATACTTAACTGTTTCACCTACAATGCAGGAAGGGGTTGGCCTCGATGACCTCTAAACTTTTCAGTCATACTGATTGGATGAAAAGGCATAAGTAAAACCATAAACAACCCCAGAGCTATGGCATAATCATACGTATCTCATAGCACCTGTCTATGGTACTATGAGACAGTACCATATTACAGGGAAGTAACACATGTTAGAAAAATGGAGAAAAGATGGTTAAATATATGGAAATTTTTAAAATACTCTTGGTTTTTAGTAAATTTGAAATGATAAAACAAAATGCTAAAAAAGTAGAGAAAATCATTTTAATCATTAGCACTTAAAAGAGAAAATGTCATCTGCCTTCTTCAATGAGCAAAGTGAACACTCTAAGTGTCATAGTGAGTCTGTAAGACATATGTACCAGGTGCAGCACAGCCAATGAACCAAGCATGTCTCAGACTGCAGACAGCCTTACTCCTCTAATTCCACACCCTAAAGTACTACCTTAGACATTTTACCCTGGGAATTTATCTTACCTATGGAAAACAAGCTAGTTGATAATTAAATAGATCAAAGGCAGGTAAGACACAAAAGAATCAGGAGGTAGGTAAGAGGGAGCGAAAGAAGAGTAATGGGGAAAGGAATGGAGGGGGTAATATGAATAAAGAACATCATTAATCAACAAACTAGAAAACATGTTAAAAGTGATTACTGGTATAAGAGTCCTCCTATTTGATCTCTTCTTTGGCAGAATAGGAAGTGGACTATCTGAAACACCCTCACATGCTAACTTTACATCCCATCTACTTGATATATACACATATCCGAGAAGAGATGTGAGTTATTTTTATAAAATACAAACACTAAGCAAGAATTATGCTAACTGAAGAAGTGCCTAGAGAGCCACATACATGCATGTTGTTAAATATAGAAACGAACTGTAATGAGAATCATTATCTCCAGTTTCCAAGGATACCAGGATAAGCACTACTCCTAAATTGCAGTTCATTCAGCAAAGGGCACAGAGTAATTTATATTCAGGGTCGTCCCTGGCTGACAGCAGATGTGAAAGGAGGACCAGGGTAAATCATCCTGTTTGATGCTGTCACCTACTTCATTCCCAGTTCTTGACCCCCGCCCTCTGGCCCCAACTCTGGCTAATGTTTTACATGAGAAATGTGAAAAATATGATTGTAAATAGCAACTTCCAAGAGAAAAAAAAATCTAGAAAGGGCAGGGCAGAATGAGATGTGATTAATGCTGGGGAGTGGGGATGGAGGCTGGCATTCTCATTTTCTTTGTTTGTGAAAAGCAGCAGAAGCTAGTATGTGCATCAGTCACACTAGTCGCCATCTTTTCCAGTGCCTAGAAAGGAACTATGTAGTGAATGTCAATTTCCTACCCAACCAAGGCTTTGCAAGGCTGTTGGAGCATACCACTCCTAAACTGACATAGTCTCCAAACTCAAATTCATTTTCAACTTATTCTGCCTTCTAGTCTCTAGGATCTAGACCTTTCATAATGATTCTTAACTTCCTAAGGGAAGTAAAAAATACAAAACTCCTTTCTGACAACCTAGGAGATAATGCCTCTCAATCATTTATTTGTTGATTCAAGACCATTTATTGATTGCTTCTATTGTGGCATGTATTTGTGCCAGGACAGGTGGGCAGTAAGGAGTGTTAGGAGATTTCGCTTAGGATCATCAGGTCACTGAGGCATTAAAAAGAGGCATTTGCCCTGTTAGTCGATTGTCACTTATGAAAATAGTGATGCAGATTTCATGAATACTTTATCTTAAACTTATAGGAAGCATATATAAAAATATGATTCAGATATAAAAGCAATTTTCTATTGAGTTCCTGCCCTCTACAGTCAGACTTCCCAGGTAACACATGGTACCTGTTAGAGAAGAAAACCACTCTCTGCTTTCAAATGCTTCCTCTTGATAGATATGAGACACTGCCAGGCTAAGCTGCTTAGCTTAATGTGATAATAGAGGAGAATAAGCTGCCTATTTTGAAAGAAGGCCTTCTAGGACTTCCCTTCTTTGCACCAGTTACATTGATTGATACTGCTCACAATTTCTAAGAGTTGAAGGAAGAAAATACAAGAGTTCCTAATAGTTACGTAACATATATGCTACAGATAGATAGATAGATAGATAAATCTATAGAGAGAGATAGATAATATATAGATATAGTTGATACAGTTGATACAGTTTTACTGTATCTTTCTTCCCACACAATCCTAACTTTCTCCCTATACACTATACATAACTGGAGTATTATGCATCTAGATGCACCGTCATGATGTTGGAACGGCCCAATCTTTTTTTTTTAAAAACAAACTCATTTTTTAATTTAAAGATTGTTTCTAAATCCACTAAACAAAGTAACAATAGCAAATTTTAAAACTATCAAAAACTATATGAATGGAAAGCTGGTCTCACTTCTTTTAAAAATTATGTTAGTAATTATTTTGGGGTATTATTCTGACACTATTTCTCACAGGTGCAACATTTAGAGGTAAGACGGCTTCAGACAAGTCTATCTCAGCCTTGAAGTTTTGAAAATATTTAAGTGGCAAAAGGCATGTTTGACTCTTTTTCCTTGTCCCACCCATGGCTAGGGCTGGTAGGACGTAGACACTTTGCTAGGTGGAACACTATACACAAAAAACATCCACAAATCACTCGCAGAAAGGCTACCCTGGTTTAACGTCCGTCCTTCCTTCCTCCCTTCTTTCCTCCCACCCTCCCTTTCTCCTTCCCTTTCTCCCTCTCTCCATCCCTCCCTCATCCCTCCCTCCTTCCTCCTTTCTTCCTTCCTTTCTTCTGCTTTTTTTTTTTTGACCGAAAACCTAGATCAGCTTTTGCAAAACCCCTTAAGATAGAAGTCAATTTACATTAAACATAATTGTATTTTTGATCGTGCACAATTAACTTCTTGTTTAGCATTGAAAGTCCCCTATCCTCTACTTCCGGAGCCTAGATCTTGAACTAGGGCCACTTGGCTCTCCGGATGTAAAAACCTCGATGATCGCTCCCCCTCCCCATTCTAACATCTAACTTCTGACCCTGTGTATTGCATGTCTTCGAAAATACTTTCTAGTAGCTCACCTTTCATGTCTTTTTACTAGAAAGTGTCCAGTTGACAATTCTCAAATTATAAAAGCAGGTAAATGCCAGTGACTGCTGTCACTTTTAAAAAGTGCATTCATGACAACCAGACAGAGATCCAGCTCTGTCACCCCAGGCGGAGGCCAGCATCCCCAGCGCGGGTCTGGCGCAGCTTGGATCCTGGGCCCAGCTTCCAGCCCTCCAGTCTCCGGCCCAGCCTCTCCCCGGCCTCACCTCTTGGGGGGGGGAGGGAGGCTGCAGGCAGTAGAGACTTCGGTTATTACAGTTACCGTCCTGCCCAGCTAGGGGGTGTGGCTTGGGTGGCTGTGGTTAGCGAAGGCAGCCGGGGTGCCTGGCTGTGTGCCTGGGGCGGAGGTGACACAGTAACCCGAGAGTTGTCAGGGGGAAAGCAAGGGTCGTGCAAGTTGAAGGAGTCTGCCCGGAGGCTGTTTTCGGCCGCGGTGCCAACGCAGATGCAGCTAGTGGGCAGCGACCAGGGCGCAGGGCAGCCTCAGGGATGGAGGGAGCGGAGGCGCAGCTGGTGCGCGGGGCGCCCCGCGTCCCGGAAGCTGAGGACAGGACGGTGGCGTCCCTCCGGGGCTGGCGCGCAGCGCGCACTCACCTATGCACAGCTGGATGGCGTAGGCGTAGTAGGACCAGCCCAGCAGGAGGCTGATGAACACCACCGGGATCCAGTACAGCACCCGCCGGCACCGCCGCCTGACGCTGCCCGAGCCCGAGGGCGCCATCTTCCAGCCGCAGCCACCTGCCCAGCTCTGCCGCCGCCGCCGCCGCCCGCGGACCTGGCTCCGGGGTGGGCTGGCCGCGCCCGAAACCCCAGGCGGGACGGGCCCTGGGGCGGCGGCCGGCTGCGCTGCGGCCACTGCCGCCGCCGTGGCGCTAAGTCCCCATCCCACAGCCGCGAGCCAGCGCCGCGGACTCCAGGCTTTTCAGCCCCGCGGAGGCGGAGGCGGCTGCGATCGGAGGACCGGGAGGAGGAGGCGGAGGAGGAGGCGGAGGAGGAGGCGGAGGAGGAGATGGAGGCTCCGCTCCGCCCCCGCCCCGAGCCCCGCCTCGCCACCTCCCTCGCTGCGCCCTGGGGCGGCTTTCCAGGGACTCAGCTGAGCCCAGAGCGCTCCTCGCCGCAGGGCTCGAGGTGGGAGAGAATGCTCACCTTGGCCCACCCGCCTCCCCTTGTGACCCTGGGTTCCGGGTGACCCGGAGGAGGCGGGGGCTACGGGGATCCCTGGGGACCGCGGGCTGGGGCGAGGGCGACTCTCCGAGACCCAGGGAGCTGGCCTTCGGCGGACCGGACCCTCACCTGCCCGGGCTGCTGCACTCCAAGAAATGAGCCACTAGAAAGTGCTTAGGCGCGGAGGCCAACGTCCCGCATCCCAGGTGGAAAATTTCTCGCTTCAACTTGTGGGTGCCAACAACCTGGAGGAGAGTAGCCTGATGCGCCTCTGTCCAGACCCGCAAAACAACTGTGCTCTGCCCTTGGCGGGGAAGGGGTGAAATGTACTACTAAGGGGGCGCTGGGAACCATCTTCTGGGACACAGGGGGCTTGGAGTAGGGTAGAAGCACTTTGGATTGTGAATCCGGGACCCCTGGAGTTAGTAACACAAGTTATTTGCCGGGAGAATTTTAACTCTTTTGTTAAATTGTTTACTGATCATAAAGTAACCATTACCACTATCCCCTCCCCAGTTCGGTGATTCCTTTGGTGCAACCCATTTTTCCTTAGAATGTTTTCTTCTGTGGTGGCAATTCTAACCTTAGTTTATTCTAAAGTGGTTGCTAATACAACAAGAAGGTATTTAACGATGGTGAGATCAACCCTCCCAAGTTTGTGACTGATGAAAGGAAAAAATATGAATGCTTTTGAGATTATGAGAGCCCCTGATTCCACAGGGAAACGCTTACATCAATGTAATGTATCTGAATTATATTTTTAATTAGTGTATATATTGGGCACAATTTTACTTAACATTACTGAATATGTGTATTTACAGCACACAGCAAGCATATGGAATGAAATTACTTCCATTCGTGTATAAAAAGTGCTGATTGACAGGAATTCAGAGAAATTAAGCTCTTGAGTGTTTGTGATTAACTTTCTGTGACTGCATTTAACATCAAGCTAATTTCTCCTGAAATAACTTCTACATTTACACACAGAGATATACAATCTCTTTTCCATTCCATTCAAAAATTGCACACAAAGTGCCAACCAAGTGTCTATGGTACTTCTGATCACTGAAATGAAAAAGGTCCCATACCAGTGAATCGTTTTACTTTGCTGTGCCACTATATATCCTTTTTAGGATATTACGTAGGGCAGATTACAGTAAAAAACATAACTTCCCTTGAATCCTTAACTTTTCCCATGGAAATCAACCTCATGTTTCCAAGCAGAATAGACAAAGGGAAGTTGGGGTGTAACTCTGTAGTAGAGCTCACACTTAGTATATGCAAAGCCCTGGGTTCAATCTCCAGGAGCAAAAAAATGAATAATTAAATAAAAGCGACAACAAGAATTAGATGCCCCTATTACCAGGACTTCAGTAAGGTCACAAAGACAAGCTAACCAGTGATTGAAGGTTAGTAGAGATTACCAAGAAATAAAAAAGTAAAGGTCAAATTTCCCACTCAAGAGAAAGTGCAAGCTGTGCCTTTTTAGATACTTAGAAACTAAAATGCCAGGAGCTGCTCCTCTTCTGACAGCCTCACAGGCTCAAGGTTGGAAATGGAGGAGCGTTATACACAGTTTTCACATCTTTTAGCATTTTGGTAGAAAATGCAAGTGTAAGATGTTTGATGGTGGCCACATTTTTATTACTCATCTAAAACATCACTTGTTTGTATATATAATATATTGGAATATTTTCAACTATTTTGCCATTTTAAAGGCACTATGATTGAGTTCACCAAGGGTATTCACTCTTATTTTAAAAACTAATGTCTAGCACAGGAAGAATGGTCTCTAAAGACACAATAACAGGATTTATCTTTGCATAGTCTTTAATGAGTCAGGCATCAGCATACATGCAGAAATGTAAGCTCTGTGCTCAATAGCAAATCTCTAGATACCAGGCTTTGGTGAGAGTGGAAGGGCAACTTTTATTTTTTAGGAATAGAAATACTTTCATTTTTTTTCTCCTTTTGGACTCAACATCAACAGGAAAACAATGTAAAGGTTATAGACAAAAAGAGACTTTACTAGAGATTCTTTGCAGAGATACTTAAGTTTCAGTTCACCAATTTTATTTTACATGTTAAATAATTGCAAGAAATTGTGGATTTCATGTGTGACTATGATAAAAGTGGTATGACTACTTATGGAAAAGAGACTTAAGCCAACAGCAAAGGAGGGAAAGGACAACACTAAAGTAAAGAAAAGAGAAGGGGAATCCAGGCAAGGAGGATGAGGGAAGCATCTGAAAAGGGGAGAAAGGCCCCCTCACCTGGCCCTCCCATGTTTTAATGACCATAACTCCATCCTTACCAGCCCTCTGCCAGGATGCTCTGTCTACTCAGAAGTTTATACAAAGTCATTCAGGTTTCAAAATCTCAAAACTCCTATGAGCAGGCTTCCATGAAAAATCATGGATTGTCCTCCTCTCCCTCCATCCCAGTCCCCTAGATTCTTCTATCCCCAAACCTCAAATCTATCTTGCCTTCATGGTTAATACTTCAGATTTTTCTCCTACTTCCAGATCCAGATGAAAATTTCACTAACTGCTATACATAGTCTGAATCAAGTAAATAGCATGCCAACCAAGCCCAGGGAGCCATGGGCTCACCTTGACTCTGGGGAGCACAGACTTCCACTAATGCCTGTGCCAGCCTCATCTCATCTTTTCGGCCAAACCACCTGTCTTGATTGACTTATTAGGTCACTTGCTTGGCATTTACTCCTTCCTTTTAGAAGTGTTCTTAGAGAGAAGTATTGAAGTAAAAAAAAAAAAACCTTTGTTGTATAAGGTCAATTTTATTACACTCAGATATGTGAGAAATGATTATGTAGATGTCAACAACAAAGTATGGTACTTGACCAACACTGCTTTCTAAATCTTACAAGGATTGGATGGAATGAAATTAGGTATTACCTATTCTTATCTACCCACAACTCTTCCATCCTTACAAGTGTTGTCTGCAAAAATATTGATACATTCTTTACCACTATTTTCTTAAGCTGAGCTTATCACTCTTTTGGCCAGAGGAGGTGGAGGAATCTCTATAGAAGCCTTGCATGACATCAGTGACTCCAGTGTTATTTGCACATTTATAAGTGGGTGAAATAGTCTCTGTGAGAGAAGAATAGTATGCCCAAGCCACATATTTCTGGACATATGGAGAGGAAAAGCAATTTTAGAAAGGAATCTTGCTTTGAGGAAATGTGAGAATAAAATAATGCTTAGATGTTAATGCAAAATAATATTCTGGCTGTGATTTAATGTTTGCAATTATCCTGGAATGGGGCTGTATAAGATGAAAGTTCACTTCAAAGGTCTAAGGATGTTTGACTATATAGTTGATTGGTCAAAACCCTGGGAAAATTGTGGGGCAAACTGTCTGTGGCCCACCTGACCAATCAAGCCCTTTTAGATTTCTTGATAGTATTTAATGTATTCTGCCACTAGATGGCAGAACACACCAACGGTGCAGCTTTCCTGCCACCTTTCATAGATTAAATAGCATCAAACCAAGGCAATTATAAAGTATAACTTAATGCTCTATTACATATAATTATAACTAATCATGGTGATATTATATTATACAATTTTCTATTGTAATTTACTGGATAATGATTAATTAATAAAAATATCAGTCCTATTCAGGAAATTCAAAAGACAAATCTTTCCATATAGCAAATCACTATGATTCTGCCCCCACTTCTTTATGGTTTGCACTAAAGTTAATCTCATGGAAAATAAAAAAGTTTTCATTTAAACAGATGCTTTCGCCTTGACATCCTCCTCCCTTAACCCTAAATGGGAAGGGGCAGAATTCATGAATCCAAAAAGTGGGCAAATATTCCCTCCCCATGGACTGGCAGCTAACGCATGGATTTTTAATGGGTAATCCAATATCACACATTCAGGTGGAGATATTAGAAGTGAGCACTGTGAAGCTGAGAGTTCCATGGCCAGTGGTGACCAAGGCAGTAGAAGTCTGCAGTGTGGTGACACTGTCTAGTGGTGCCAAGGCCAGCAGATGCATCCCAGGCAGACCATTCTTGGTGGCGACATCCTGGCCATACACCAGCTTCCTTTGTTCCAGCTCAAGATTAACTCTCAAGGCTTCCTTTTGGTTTTGATGGATGCCCGTATCTACAAAAACATTTTTTTGTGTGTAGGTCAGCTAGAATTGACTTGTTTTGGCAACTCTGGCAGTTTTAACTTCATTCTGCCTCCTGTTTTTTAAAGAATCTGTTTCAACTCATGGAGATGGATGCACCAAGAAATAAGGATACAGGAATTGGGGGCAGAGGGATCTCCTTGAAATCCTTCAAGTCACACTTTCTAGACCTGTATTCTAGTCACTAGCCATACATGTCTGTTCAAAAATGAAAACTAATTAAATGAAATAAAAACTTAAGCTCCTTAGTTGTAATAGCCATATTTCAAATGTTGAATAGCCACAGCAACTGGTAGCTACCGTATTGGACATGCAGATTTAGGACATTTCTGTCACTACAGGAAGTTCTTGTTTTGGACAGAACTGACTTGACATTCTATCGTGTCTGAATATTCATAAGGCAAGCTTTATATTTGAACATATAAGAAACAAAAGTCCCCTATCTAATTATATCTCCCCTGCTGCATATAAACACAAATGAGATTGGAAGTTAAAGACGTTTTTAGGCTTATGATACTAGATTTTTTTTTTTGAAAGTGAATCTAAAGAATAAGGAGCCAGTTGGAATAATAGAGGTAATACTATAGATTCTTGAATCCGCAGCTTGTACAAATGATTATCTTCAAATATATGTAGGGAGAAGCTTATTAGAAAACCATAGAATTCTCAAATTCTTATGCATAAAGCAAAATATTAGATTTAGATTTTAAATCAGCTTTATCCCTGAGTAACTTGAGTGATCAACTCAGAATGTTCTATCTTCATCCAGGACCATCGGGACCCTTTTTGTTCTGCTGGTTGGGGCACTTGACAATTAACTGGCCAGATTCAGCACTCTCTGTCAAATTATAGGCTAGGTTAGTCATGCTGAGTTTTCTTATGGCAGATGTGGGAGGAACTGGGATTACTGTGTCTTGCCAGTAGTTTGTACAAACCCACACTGGCTCTGATTCAAGACAACGTCTCCTGAAAAAAGAAAGGAAGCAACTAAAAGGAAGAAAGGGAGGGAGGGAGTAAAAAAAGGGAGGGGGAAGGAAGGAAGATGAAAGGAAAAAATTCAAATGATTTTTAAAATTTTTATAATGAGTATTTCCAAGTGTTCTCAAAGACTTAAATGTAACATAGAGATGAAGCTCACATTGCAATTTATAATTGTAGAGGGAAAAGTATCTAACTAGAGCTTTGTCTCTGCCCTTTAAAAAGAGCAGACAGAATAAATAATAAATATTTAATGATGACATTTAACAAAAAAGTCATGTTGTCTTCGGATTTATAGAAAATTTTGGTCATCGGGGATTCTTTAATCTACAATTCATCCAGTGTAAATTATGTCCTGTAGATCAGAACTTTTGAGTTTATAATTATTTTCAAGTGATACTTAGTTCAAATTCTGAATTTCTTTGGACTATTTCACTTGTTGATAAAGCTGTTCTCTGATTATATTTCAGTCTTTGCCAATAGATCATGCTATGAAATGCTAGGTTGGAAATAGA